CCTCCCCCATCACCGATGCTTGGTCAACTTCGAATTAAAACAGAAGTTAATTGATAGTGTTCATCCTGAAATGTAAGGAAACCAAAAATCAAAGAGAACTGATCTTTTCTTGTAGGGTCTCACTCAGTGGCAAGTCTAAGGGGACCACTAGAAAAATCCACTGTTTGACACTTTTTAAGCACCAACCCTTTTCATATGAATCTTTAGATCATCTGGCATGTAAATATCTTGTGACTCCAGCTACAACAGTGCCATGCAAACATCTATTCTCACTTTCACGTGACACTGTAAACAAGAAGCAGGCAGCATTATTTTCTGGAAATGTAAACACACTTGTTTGTCTTAGCGATTGGCTGAACAAGAAGTAGGACTGAGTGGACTTGTAGGCTCTTAAGTTTTACACTTTTATTTTTGAATGCAGAGTTTTTTTGTACATAATTCTACATTTGTAAGTTAAACTTTCATGATAAAGAGATTGCACTACAGTACTTGTATTAGGTGAATTGAAAAATACTATTTCTTTTGTTTTTTACAGTGCAAATATTTGCAATCAAAAATAAATATAAAGTGAGCACTGTACACTTTGAAAAATATTTAAATAAATGGTATTCTATTATTTAATCGCACGATAAATCACGATTAATTTTTTTAATCATTTGACAGCCCTAATAAGCATACATTTAAACATTTGGCTGAACTGCGGCATAAGGCAATGAGAAACGTCTTCCCAAAATCAACTAGCTAGTGATCATGTTAATTTGATTTTATTATTGTATTACACATTACATAGCATAATCAATAGTTCTAACTAAGGGCCAAATTGTTACCTGGCTTGTGCACTGGCACAAGGGAATGTATCACACGTAACACTGCAGGAGGCTCTGGAGAGCTGTTCTCATCACTTGGGCAGGAATGGATGGGGACTGGACGGAATTTGGCTTCCCAGCCTCCAGTACAGTCAGTGTTGCTGCATCAGCATAGTAGGAAACATACACTGTGCTGGGTACAGACCGGGCACAATTTACTCACTACCTGAAGAAGCAGGGAAACTGGGAGGGAGATTTTGATTAAGCCTGAACCTTCTTTCTGGACAACTCCTAGACAGTGCAACAAGACTTTTCTCTGGGCTCTGGGTAATGCCACTAACTAATTAGATGAGCCTAGTTTCACCAATTGTGTTTGTGGGGTATGCAAATGATGAAGGAGTCCAACCATAAACATCTGTTGGGGTGTGCATGCGCCTTGCTAATATTTTTCTATGTATTTTAGATCTCTTTCACAAGTAAAATTTATCACAGTATGAGACTTTGAAAGCACGTTTCTCATAAAACATTAATGCAAAGTAAAACAAATAATTGGTCAGACAACTATTGAATACATGAAAAACTTCAGGTTTTATTTTCTTTCTAAAGCATTTCACTTGAAAATAACTGCTGTATTAAAATACTAATATTAAAGATTTCAGATAAAGTACCTATATGCATAGCTTTTGTTGTCTTCATAGCAAAGAACTCTAAACTACATTTTTTCTCCAATTTGAGACTACAATAGAGAAACTGGAGACCAAATGGAAGTTGTGTAGCCAGCCAGAAAGTTATTTGAAATAAAATTTTGTAAATACTAAAAATTCCCCACAACATTTCTGTTTAAATTCAGAACTATTTTTTTCTCCCTTGTTTCTCATCTTATCACACAGTAGAAACTGTCTCTGATTGAAACACAGACTGAATTTTAAGACCAGAAGTGACCATTGTGACCATCTAGTCTGACCTCCTGCACACTACAAGGCCACACAACCTCATCCACCCACTCCCATAACTTCTGGCTGAGCAGTCCTCAGATCACGTTTTAAAGACTTCAAGTTACAGAGAATCCATGATTTACTCTAGATTAAACCTGCAAGTGACCCGTGCCCCATGAGGCACAGGAAGGTGAAAAACCCCTAGGGTCTCTGCCAATTTGACCTGGGGAAAAATTCCTTCCTGATCCCAAATATGGCGATCAGTTGGACTCTGAGAATGTCGGCAAGACCCATCAGCCAGACACCTGGGAAAGAATTCTCTGTAGTAACTCAGAGCCCTTCCCATCTAGTGCCCCCCTCTGGCTATTGGGGATATTTGCTACTAGCAGTTGCTAATGTACCACATGCCATTGTAGGCAATTTCATCATACCATCCCCTCCACAAACTTATCAAGCTCAGTCTTGAAGCCAATTAGGTTTTTTGCCCCCACTGCACCCCTTGGAAGGCTGTTCTAGAACTTCATGCCTCTGATGATTAGAAATCTTCATGTGATTTCAAACCTAAATTTGTGGGTGGCCAGTTTATATCCATTTGTTCCGATGTCAACACTGGTGCTTAACTCTTCGCCCAATTCCTGGTATTCATCCCTCTGATATATTTATAGAGAGCAATCATATTGCCCCTCAGCCTTCGTTTGATTAGGCTAAACAAGTCAAGCTCCTCGAGTCTCCTCTCCTCAGACATAATTTTCCATTCCTCTGATCATCCTAGTAGCCCTTCTCTGTACCTGTTCCACTTTGAATTCATCTTTCTTAAACATCTGCACACAGCATTCCGGTTGAGGTCTCACAAGTTCCTTGTATAATGGTAATCACACTTCTCTATCTGTAGTGGAATTACCATGCCTGGTGCATCCTAGGATTGCATTGGTCAATATAGTTTGCTCATCCTAACTCAATTCTTCTACGCCTTTTGGGGAGAAAACATTAATTTGGAATTTCTGTCTTAATAAAGATTGTAAAATCATTCATGAAATATGGTTTCATAAATTTTTGGTAGATAATGGTTTTTTCATGTATTTTTCTAAATCCTAGCACTTAGCATTTAGACTTCTAAGGTTTCAATACTTTATCTTTTTTCTTACAAGAAAATGCATGCCCATAAGATCTTCACTGGTTTCTGTACAAGAATATATACTTTTCTTTTTAAAAGAAAATCTGGGTACAGCTGCTGAACGAAGGGACAGTTAAATGAATCAACTGGTCTAATTTAAATAATAGTGTTTTGCCTAAGTAAGCAGCAATGCACACCAGGTATCAGAGGACAGGGTCCAGCTCCTTCAATAGCTGTAAAAGTCTTTTTATATTTGCCAACTGTTTGTGACTGACACATACATAAATAAATATAAAAACAAGTGAGAGCCTGATTCTCAGTAATGCTTAGCACATTAGAAAACCTGACCTTGAGTTTCCAAGATATGCAGGAAGAAACACTCCATAGCAGAGGACTGCATCAAGCAACAAGCTTCTCTGTTTATGCAACAGATTTTTCAGAGCTACATGATTACTACTATTTATTGGAGCTGGAGTGATTTCTGAAAAATATTATGCATATGTATTTATTCAGGTTTTTAAGTGAATATGCTTCATCAGGTAATTCTGATAACATGTTAATTGAAACTAACTCAGAAGCAATGCCAGATTAGAATCTAGTGACACAACCGACATTTAAAGATTTCATACAATTTCATAATTACCTTTGCTTCATGAAGAAGCAGAAGGCAAAGGACCCCATTACACTACAACATCAGCATACTCTCGCCCAAGCCTACACGCAAAGACAAAACACAAAACAAATGCTACAAAGAAAGCAACTCAAATTTTGCAGATTCCCCGCCTCACCACAGTTTGAGAGCTGTTGTCATCTATAGTCTTATCTGTAACAAAGCCTTGTTGTAAGACAAACAAGCACATTCATCCAATTTTCCTAATTGCTTATCATCGATGTTCATATAACCCTAACATGAAAACAATGATTTATAAGTATAGTTTTAACAAGTCTATTGAAACCTTTTTAGTGAAAAGGTCTTAGACTGAATTCCTATAAACTTGATATTAAGGCCAGGGCAAAGTAAAATATACACTCAAGTAATTTTGGAGTGAAATATTAAAAGGGCACAAAGTAAAACATTGGTCACTATTTAAAAAGTTAACAATTCAGTATTCAGTTCTGGTCAGTCCAAGTTAAAAAAAGATACAGCAGAAAAACAGATGGGATTAAGAGACAGGTGGCAAAATAATAAATTAGAAAATCTTTATCAACCCTCATTATTCAAATTACATCAAAATCTCACACCTTTACAGACACTGCCTGACTCCACCCATTTTAGTTATTTATTTTGATTTGAAAGGTATTAATGAAACAAAGTGATATTCTGGCCATACTGAAGTCAATGGGAGTTTTGCCAGTTAGGGGGTAGGATTTCACACAGTATTTTTTCACAAAAAAAACACACCAGCAAACCAGTCTATGTAGTCTAAAATGACTACGGATTCAACAACAAATACCAGAAGTGTACTTTAAACCTAGGGTGCCAAGTTTTCAATAGCTTAAAAAAATGAATTCCTTTGTTCATTTTCTGTAACGTTTGAGATTTATTTCTACACCTATATTCAGTAGAATTTTTACTTCACAAAATTATGAATGAACTCCCATGCACAGTCTAAAAGGTTCTACAGAGTAGGCACAACGGAGATTATACATATACATACTGTTGATCTTCATGCATATTTATCCTGCAGCATAATGTTAAAATAAGTGATGACTGAAGAGATTTGAAAAAAATTTTATAAAATCAAATGTTTCAATTTATTTTCTATTTATTTTTCTTGTAATCTGCATTATTAAAGTTTCAACACAAAAGACAGACATTTCACAGATATTTATAAGTTTGATATTTTAAGTTCTTACAGTTAATAAAGAGCGGTAAGAAAATATTTCACTCATTCTATTTAATATTCCCTATTTCATTTTATTCTAAACATATATTTTGAGGGGAAAATTAAATGCAAGTTAAGATAAATACTATCTGGATAGAAAAATTAATAGATAATGTTTTCACCCCTCAGCTCATATCTACAACCAAAATATTTCTACTACAGTAATAAAAAGTAAAGATTAGATGCTCGTCAGCTTCATTTTCTGACTTTTTTGACATTATGATCAAGAACAAAAAAAACCCCTAAATTCAAATCTTACCCATTTTTGAAATACAAGACATGTGCTCTTTGGAGTCCTGTTTCTAGGAAAAATCCCAGTTCCTGTTCATGCACTGCAGACCCCGGTTTAGGGCTTCTGTTTTGTATATTGGTAATTATTACCTAAGAGAAAACACAAGTGAAATAAAATTAAATGAAATACAGAGGAAACGTTCTATTCTTATTATTTGAGAGCATGTGGGGTAGAACAAAGAAGCTGGTGCTCGATAATGTTGTTGAGAGAGTCTTCTTCACTCCATTCTTTTGCTGTCTAGGAGAGCATTTCTATATCTGTCTCATTGATTTTCCATCTTTTCAAATCTCTTCTCAATACCTTCCTTGTGACTTTTAATTTATTCTTCCTTCTATTATTCTCACTGCAATTATATTATTTAATTTTTAATGCATTTTAGGATGCAATATATGAAAAAAGTATTCAAAGCAAAATAATGTATAGCTTATAAAATATATAGTTACAACATGCTTCAGTAATAGTAGATGGCAGTGCTCAGTTCCTCTTGGCATCAGCCCCTACACATAAATGGCTTAGTTCTAATTACAAAAATTAATACATAGGCACTATCAAGCTCAGATAAAATAGGTGGGTCAAGTACACAGAAATACAAACTAATGTAAAAATGCATGGAGATTAGTGAGATACTCAAAAGTAGTGTCCCCAGGTGGTTCAGAAAGAGTGAAATACAGAACTTGAGTCCCTTAATATTTGTCCTGACATTGCACTTTTAGCCAAAGCTTCTTTGAACCTGCTGTATGGCTTGGATTTTCATTTATACAGTCTATATTTTATCAGTCATGAAAAACCAATAATGAAAGACATTCTAGAGGAAACTATTTCAATAAATCCATTATGTGAAAATGAACACTGACAATTCCAAATGCGCGCTCGCTTTAAAAATATCATAGGCAAAATATAGCCCCTCTTTCCCAATTGCTAACAATGTGTTTGTTTCCTTTTTCCTTCACTTATACCAAGATTAAAATATTTTTAGAAGTAGATTTGTAGAGTAACTATTGTCTTCCTTCAATGCAGCTTGCATGAAATACTTGTCATTGAAGTAGACAATCTCTCTGGCATCCTGAATTGACTTTTCTTAAAACAGAACAGTTCTTTATAGACATCCACAAAAGAACACTCGTTTGACTAACTGGTCCTCTGGTTACAATTTCATGTATCATAATGAAATTGGATGAACATTTAAATGTTAGCAGAATCTGAATGAAAATACCCTATCTTATCGAACACAATGAACCCTATTTACTATAGTTTTCCATCCACATTACACCATCTATAATGCTGTTAAGTAGAGTTATTGTATCTGAGAGAATACTAACTTTCTACAAAAACTCAATCCCTATGTCTAATCCAATCATAAATTCATTAGGCATGCTGAAGTCTAAACACTAGACACTATAAAACAGCAGAAATTGTCTAAAATTAAAAAAAATTCAGCTGTGATTCTAACTTAAAGCGCACTGTGAATGTGACTGGTAACTTATCTCTTCCCTCATGTTCATATTTAATAATTTTTAGGGAGTGCTCTCCACCAGGAAGTTCAGGGCAAAGGACATGTTTTCTAACGTACTTGCCATCTATGAGATCTGGTACATTCCAAAAAGGTAGAAAATTGTTCAGGAATAGTTTGCAGCATCCAGACAAGGAAAAAAGTCAGATGAAGAGAAATCTCACCATCCCTCACAATACAAATACCGGACCCAATCCTGCTCTCACTGAAGCCACTGGCAAACCTACTATTAATTTCAATGACAGTACTATTATGTCCACTGGTTGCACTGGCTTTATGTATGTGCCAATATGAAACCAATTATACACCAATACCCTGTGATGAACAGTTTAACTGTACAAGTACTTAAGATATGGTCTATGGACTGACTAAAGCTGTTAGAAAAAACTGCTCTAAAAATACGCCATTTAAAAACTTATTGTAAATATGTCTTCTTACAAAAGGTATTCCTCTAGGCTATAAACAGGACTATTTGGTTAATCTCACCCATAGAACCACAGAGGTAACTGATTGACTGAAGTACTTGGAAGCTCCTGCTGTTCCCCCTATACCATCTTGGCAAGTCCATCACAACTCCTGTTTAAAATCTTAAACCATAAAACACTATAAACATATGTGCAAAAGTGGGGAAGAATCTAGATGAGATGATTTCCTATTATAAAAAGATTGCATGTTTCAATTATCTGTTGTCATTCACAGAAATTCATTAGGCTGGAAACAGGACTGTTGGGAAATCACAAGCAGTCCAACCAGAAAAAGGGGAGGAAAAGCTGTGAAGACTTAGAGACCCACATACTATGAGAGCCAGAGACTAAAGGCAGCATCTGATGAGGATGCCACATGTGCTTTGTAATGTTTGGTAAAAGTATGTGGAAGTTGCCAGGTAGCCACACTGCAGATCTCATAAGTAGGGCCCAACCAAATTTATGGCCATGAAAAATACATAATGGACCGTGAAATCTGGTCTTGTGTGCTTTTTTTACACTATACTATAAAGATTTCATGGGGGAAGATCGGAATTTCTCAAATTGTGGGTCCTGACCCAAAAGGCAGTTGCAGGGGGGTCGCAAGGTTATTTTAGGGGGGATGTGGTATTGCCATCCTCACTTCTGTACGGTCTTCAGAGCTGGTTGGCCGGAACGCGGCGGCTGTTGGTCGGTGGCCAGCTCTGAATGCCACTCTTACTTCTGTGCTGCTGCCTTCAGCGCTGAGTAGCAGCTGCTGACCAAGGGCCCACCTCTGAAGGCAGCAGCGCAGATGTAAGGGTCGCCATACCATTCCATGCCATCCTTACCTCTGTACTACTGCTAGTGGCAGAGTTGCCTTCAGAGCTGGGCTCTCGGGCAGTAGCAGGGCAGAAATAAGGGTAGCCGTACTGCAACCCCCCCTACAATAACCTTGTGATCCCTCCAAAACTCCTTTTCGGGTCACGACCCGTACAATTACAACACCATGACATTTCAGATTTAAATTTTAAAATTTACAATTTCTAAATTAATGTGACCACGAAATTGACCAAACTGGACTGTGAATTTGGTAGGGCCCTACTCATAAGATGGGGTCAGGAGAGGAATACACAAGTTTTGGTTGACTGGTGCAGTGGGGTTCAATAGTCCAGCAAATTCATAGGTGCAGGATAGATGTCCTTTGCTTGTTGCATGCCCAGAGGCCCTACTTTTATCCATGTCTTGCTCCATTATTCCTCTCCAGGGACTGTGGAAGAGCTGGTCACTCATCTCCCTTAGCACAGAGAATCTCAGGGGAGGCACTGCCTTCAATGTGCTCAGTCATTGTGTGAGCAAGGTGGATAAAAATCAATGATTTAAAAAAAAAAATCAAAAAAATTGGTTTTTATTTTAAATTGGATTTTTGAGGAAAAAACCTATCTAAAGATAGTTTTAATTAAGATACATTATAGCTCAAAGATATCTCATCATGGAATAGGGATTATAAATTCTAATTCTATAGTATGAGACAAGTTTTGTAAATGAGTTCCAATAGTTCATGGATTAGGGACCCAATCTTATGGGCTTCCAGGGGCTTCTGTATAGATTATTTAGGTTAATCTTTCTACCTACCCAATGGGGCTCAGTCTAGAAGATACCATCAGAGATGCTTAGTTTTGCAGTTCTCAAAGTGTGGATTTGTGTCTCCAGAGATAACATGCTTGTTAACAGCAAAAATGGAAGGAACTGAGTGAGACTATGCAATGACAGTTAAATTAGAAGCATTAAAAAAAACAAATGGGACAAGTACTATCTCCAGCTCATTTTCTTGCAAATATTCTCAATACTCGGTACCAAGGTACTGCTGAAGAAGAGAAGTTGGCTATGACATGGACATCCAGCAATCATCCCTCCATAATGCCAACTATAATAAACTTCAGAGCTAAGGGTGAACCATTCAAGAAAGATATGTTTGCTGATGATGTTTTAAAGAAAGTCACACCAGTGAACTGGTGGAAGTCACTTAAGCACTTGGATTCAGAGACAGTTGAAGTGATAATCTCACTTAACAGCAGTAGCTGCTTCTGCGAGTGTAGAAAGAATATTTTCTTCCTTTGGACAAACTGAGAAATTGTTTGGGACCTGAAAAAGCAGGAAAGCTTGTTTTTCTTTTCCAGATTATGAATAAACAGGAAAACGAAGGTGAAGACGACTGAGTTAGCTGCAAAAGCCAATATTTTAAGTTTCACACAGTCTATTTAATTTTTGGTTGGTTTTTTTTAAATATTTCATTTAACTATTTTAGTTAAAAACAATTTAACAAAAACAAACCTGATTTTAAAAAACTCGAATGTTTAAATTCAAAATTTCATATGCTTGTTTTGTTAAAATAGGATATATTTGCGGTTGAAGAAAAAAATCCAGAATACATAACGTTGTTGTTTTAGTTAAATAAAACAATGTAAATGTCTGTCCGATTATGTTCTCCTCCTAATACAGCACTGCAAGAAAATCCTCCAAATATTAATGATTAACCTGTTGAATTGGAGATAGTTCACCTCCCAATGACTTCATAAATATCTGCTTCAATTACCTTTGGTAAATGAAATAACCAAACAATCATTCATTTTCTGATATAGCTGTAAAGCTAATCTGAAAAGTTTTCAAAATAAATCCCTTAAAAAATGTAGAGTGTGTACCTTCTAAAAATGAAACCTACATCTATCTCTGAGTTGTGAAGAATATGTATTCAAGTTATAACAACCAACAAGAATGCACTTTTATGTAGAAATCCATGATTAAATCGAGTATTCCTGACTAGTGATTTAAATCAATTTGATTTAAATCAAATCTACCCTGGGTGAGAGAGACTTCCTAGTTTGTGCTGACCACAGTTCGGGGCTGGGAATAGCGCCTGTCCAACCAGAGGTAACCATCACCAGCTTCCAGGGGTAACAGCACTGATCATAGAGAACTCCTCCTACACTGAGGTCTGGGTTTGGAACTGCTGAAAGAACAGAGAGATGGAGCCAGAGAAGAAAAGCTGGAAAGGACTGTGGCCTTCCCTAGGAGCTCAAAGCAAAGATGCACAGGGAAAGCAGAGAAGAGTTTTGAGGCACTCTTCCAGGCTGAT